GAGCGGCTTGTAGGCAGCATGCGGAGTGGCGAGGTAAAGGGACAGCGTGGGCGGAGATAGTCGAAAATCGGCCGTCGCGTGCATTTTTTGCCGAGCTCTGGGTTAGGTGATAGATCTTAAGAGAACTTGTTCAACAATGTCCAAAAATATATAAAGACGCAATAAGTTAGGTTAGATTAGGATTTATTCGGGGAGCGGTTGCGGGGGGAAGGGCGAAGCCCTCTCTCGCTTATATGTACTGTTTCTTACATTTCTATATATACACTGTGTTTGAATTAATTGTATGGAAAATTTATGAAAACTTCATTTGTTCATACTTTGTTATAAACCAATTAGCGTGGGTTAAAACTTTCAGAACATTACTCATTAACAGAATAACATTACAGAACTTGATAACATATGTAAAAATTATTGACATCGGGAGGTGGTCCCTATTTCTGCGTAATTACCAAAAAATTTTTTGCGACTAAAAGAACAGATGAAGTTGTAGGTCAGTAGTAACGGTGAATATATTCATGTATAGGACATGTATAACATGTGCTCATTCCTTAAGTATGTACACAATGTCGGAAAATTATATTTTATTTATGAAATTTCTTTTGTTAATTATTTTTTAATAAACAATGAGCGACGGCTAAAACCTTTTGATTATGACTCAGGAGGGTCTCCTTGATAATATATCTAACAGACAAGGTCATCGGAGGTGGGTCCCTTAAACAGAAATTTTATCGTTTTATCAGAGTTCTGTTTCTGAGTGCAAGCATAAAAACAATTTCAACATTTAACATTTTTTTGTAAATTTTAAATACTGCAATGCATCCTCTGGGGAAAAAGCAACGTGCTGATAATTTCCCGCAGATCTAGCGATAATTCTCCTTAGTTTTCGCACAATTCTATATCTCACGATCATTTTATGAAGAGTTCCGACCGTTAAACATTATTATACAATTGCTAATGAAACGTGCCAGTACGTCGTTCAGAATAAAAGCGACGTGCTGATCAATTTCTTGACTTCTAACGACAGTTTTAGATGCATTTCACAGAATTCTATGCTCTGCGATCAGTTTTACAAAGAGTTCCAGTCGTTAAATATTTTCAACAATTATTGATGAAACAATCTACAAAAAAAAATGTTAAATATTGACATTTTTTTTTTATGCTTGCACTCAGAGACAGAACTCTGATAAAACTAACTATTGCCAGGAATTATTGCGGGAACTATTGCCAGAAGTTGAAATATTTGATTGCTTCTTATACTTTAGAGGGAGAGGCAACGTGCTAACTTCGCGATCTAACGCGTCGACATGTCAGCATACGAGGGTAGTCCAGAAGTACCTGACCTAACAAAGAAAACACAAAAATTTGGGAAAAAATATCTTTATTTCTCTACATAGTCTCCTTTTAGCTCAATACACTTTTCCCAGCGATGTTCAATAGCTTCGATACCCTGTTTTATAGTAGGAATCGTCGAGTTCCTCAAAATAGCCATCAAGCCACCTTGATCCATTGTTTTGACTGTTCCTTCGTCTTAGGTGTGATGGACCCATGTTTCATCCATGGTTATGAATCGACGCAAAAACTCGGCTTTATTGCTGCGAAACTTCGCCAAACACTCGATTGAAACATCCTCACGACGCTGTTTTTGTTCCAATCGCGGCACCCATCCTGTGCACAGCTTTCTCATGTCCAAATTTTCAGTCAATATGCCGATGTACAGCATTTTTTGAAATACCTACCATGTCTGCTAACTCGCGCACTTTCAGTTGACGGTCATCCCAATACCATTTTGTTGGATTTCTTCACCATTTCTGGCATGGTCACCTCATTTGGCCGACCACTGCGATGTTCGTCTTGACAGTTCGTACGGCCCCATTTAAATTCTGCCACCCAATATTTTACTGTTGTAACGAAGGAGCAGACTCCCTCAGAGTAGAATCTAGCTCCGCTTTGATATTGGTTTGGACTGAGGCCTTTCAAATGAAAGTATTATATCACATAACGATGATCAATTTTTTCCATGTTTACAAATTCCCCGAGAGCGTTCACTATTGATGGCTACCAAACAAATACTAAACAACGTAGCGTCGTCAAACTTCAAACTTAGCTTTATAAGGTTGGTACTTTCTACCATAGTCATTCTTTCCAAACAACAACCGCTATCTATACGTCAGGTCAGGTACTTCTGGGACTACCCTCGTACGTCGTTCCAAATAGAAGCGACGTGCTGATTATTTCCGCAGATCTAGCGATAATTCTCGTTAGTTTTCGCATAATTCTATAGGTTGCGTGAAAAGTTCGCGGAGCGACATTTATAAGTAAACGGTAGAATTATAAATTGTAGTCGGTTATATAGAATCACTCTTCACATGAACCTAGGTTAGGTTTCATTTCCATCTGTCAATTCTTTCTGTGTTTACAAGCCAATTGAAGTTGACGTGTCAGTATATTTGTTTGCAATGGAAAATTTGAAACAGCATGCAGTGATTAAGTTCTTTGTTGAAAAAGGTTTAAAGGCAATGGAAATTCACTCCGAGATGGTAAATGTGTTAGGGGAATCTGCTCCTTCAAAAACAATGGTTTGTAAATGAGCATTTGAGTTTCAACGTGGTCGTACAAGCATTGAAGATGACCCACGTAGTGGACGTCTAAAAAGCGCATCAACACCAGAAATCATTGAGCAAATACATGTTATTTTTCTGAAGATCCAAGTGTGACTACGCGTGAAATTGCTCATACCATAGGCATTTCAGATGAACGGGTACGGCATATTTTGTATAAAGAATTACAAATGTAAAGGTGTTTGGAAAAGTGGTGTCGCATACGTTAACAATTCAACAAAAACTCGTTCGAAAGCAAATTTCTCAGCGTCATTTGGATCATAGTTTTAAGAAGAATAAAACCGATTTTGTGCATCGTTTTATAACTATGGACTTGGATCTATCACCATATCCTAAATTGAAGGCAGGAACGTTTACAATAGAAACAAAGCATGAAAGATCGGCAAAAAAGGTTTTGGCATCAGTTTTTTGGGATGCTAAAGGATTTTGTTAATTGACTATCTGGAAAAAGGTAAAACAATTAACTCTGAATATTATTGTAACCTTTTGGATCAATTGGACGCAAAAATTCGTGAGAAAAGACCTGGTTTGCAGCACAAACAAATCATTTTTCACCAAGACAACGCACCTGCTCACAAAAGTGTTTTGTCAATGTCTAAATTCAATGAATTGAAGTACAAATTGCTTGATCATCCACCGTATTCGCCAGATTTGGCACCCAGCGACTTCTATCTGTTCTGAAACCTGAAACAATTCCTCCGTGGAAAGCATTTTTTGTCGAATGAAGAAGCTATAGCAGCCGTAGAGGCATATTTCGCAGACCTTCCAGAAACACACTTCCGCGATGGAATAAAATTATTGGAGAGCCATTAGGCCAAGTGTATTGAAGTTAATGGAGACTATATTGAAGAATAAAATCATTTTAGAATTAGGTATTCTTTATTTCAGTTTTGCTCCGCGAATTTTCACACAACCTGTATATCTCACGATAATTTTCAAGAAGAGTTCCGGCCGTTAAACTTATTAAACAATTGCTAATGAAACGTGCCAGTACGTTGTTCAGAATACTAGGTGCGCAACTAAGTTTCCGGGTTTTTTTGATCAATGAAAAATGGAAAATTTCAAGAGAAATACAAAAAATGGTTTATTCAAAGTATCGTCCCTCGCTAGCTACACATTTTTGCCATCTCTCTGGCAATACATGAATACCGCGACGATAAAACGACGCGTCTTTGGACCGAAACCATTCATCCAACCAATTTTGCACTTCTTCGAAATTGGCCAAGTGTTGCCCAGCCAAGCCATGCGCCATCGACCGGAACAAGTGATAATCGGAAGGGGCCAGGTCTGGCGAATACGGCGGGTGCGGTAGCAGATCCCATTTCAGCGTTTTGATGGTGTCCTGGACGATGGAAGTGCGATGGCACGGAGCGTTGTCGTGCTGCAATATCACTCGTTCCATTCTGGCCGTTTTTCGAGCAATGCATGGTTCAAATTGATCAGTTGTTGTCGGTAGCGATGCCCATTGACAGTTTCGCCCGGTTTCAGCAGCTCATAGTACACGATTCCTTTCTGGTCCCACCAAACGCAGAGCATTGTCTTCTTTCCGAAGCGATTTGGCCGTGCCGTCGATGTTGATGCTTCGCCAGGTGAAAGCCACGATTTTTTGCGTTTGGGATTCTCGAAATATATCCACTTCTCATCGCCAGTAACAATTCGATGCAGGAAACTCTTTCTTTCATGCCGCAAAAGCAAAATTTCGGAAGTGGCTCTTCGATTTTCCATCTGTCTCTCAGTCAACTCATGCGGCACCATTTTCCTTCCTTTTGAATTTTTCCCATGGCATGTAAACGTTTGGAAATACCTTGGCGAGTCATGTTTAATGCCTCCGCAAGTTGATCTTGTGTTTGCGTATCATCTTCATCCAATAACGCTTGCAGATCGGCGTCCTCAATTGTTTTTGGTCTTCCGGAGCGCTCCTTGTCCTCAGTGTCGAAATCGCCACTTCTGAAGCGTTTAAACCAATCTTCACAGGTAGTTTTCGATGGTGCATGTTCGCCGTAGGCCTCCTCAAGCAAACGACGTGCTTCAGCTGCACTTTTTTTCAAGTTAAAGCAGAAAAGCAAAGCTTCCCGCAAATGCTGTTTATTTGGCACAAAACTCGACATCTTCGTTGTTAGAAAAAATATTTTTGCGTTGCGATATGTGTTGGTATTACGACTGGTTATTGTTAACAGATGTCCAAGCTATAAAAAAAACAACTTCAGACATGTATGTCGACTACATGTGTCGTTAGCGCCATCCATGTGTGAAACCCGTTGAAACTTAGTTGCCCTAGTAAACCTTAGCGCACCTAGTAAAAAGCGACGTGTTATCATTTCTTGACTTCTAATGACAGTTCTAGATGCGTT